CTGTGCCACCAAAGCTAGCAAAATCCGAATCGAAGAGTGCTTCACCACCGGAGAGAAAACCTCATTATAGTCAATACCTTCCTCCTGTGCATAGCCCTTCGCAACCAACCTAGTCTTGAACCTCAATGGAGTGCTCTCAATACCCTCCTTCTTCATGTATACCCACTTACAACTAATTGTCTTCCGTCCCTTTGGAAGCTCAACAAGCTCCCATGTATCGTTCTTATGAAGAGAGTCCATCTCCTCCTGCATAGCTACCTGCCACGAATCAGCCTCCGAACTCTGCTCGGCCTCTCTGAATGTAGTAGGTACTACTCATCGATATTCTTTACCGAAAGTGCATATGCAACTACCGTATTGGTATACCGTGTTGGCATCCGTATGTCTCTCCTCTGTCTCCAAACTGCAATAGAATACTGAACCTGAGCCGTCGGTCCCTGATCCTGCACAACTGTACCCGTATCCCCCTCGAAATCGTCATGCTCGCTTGGTGTCACCTCAATCGGTACTCTAATGAATACTGTACCATCTGGATAACGTGGAGCTGCATCGATCTTCACCACCTGCGATATTTCCTCTGTCGGGTCGCTCTCCACTTGATGAGAGCTGGGAAGCTTTAAGATAGAAGCCTCATCGAATGTGACATCTCTACTCAGCACAATCTTCCTATCAACTGGATCCCAAAGCTTGTATCCATTGATACCACGCTTGAATCCTACAAATATGACCTTCCTAGCTCGAGGTTCCAACTTATTAGTCTTCACATGATAGTATGTATGGTACCCAAATACCTTGAGTTGGTCATAATCGTGTGGTGGCTCTCCCGATCATATCTCCATAGGGGTCTTCCCCTCAATCGCAGATGAAGACAGCCTGTTAATGAGGTGACTCGCATATGAAAGTAGCTCAGCCCAAAAGATCTTCTCCAAGCCACTATGCGCCAATAAACATAGGATCTTCTCCAGTAAAGACCAATTTAACCTCTCTGTCACCCCGTTCTGTTGCGGTGTATGACTAACTATGAAGTGTCTATCTATGCCTTCGTCTCGACATAGCTGCTGAAAGGGGTCTGATGTGTACTCACTATTGTTGTCGGATCACAACGTCTTGATCTTTCTCCTAGTCTGTAGTTCTAACCTCTTCTTCCACTCCACAAATATATCTAGGACTTCACTCTTTTTTGCCATGGTGTACACCCAACAACGCCTAGAATAGTCATCAACAAACGTGACAAACCAATGCCTACTACCAAGTGATACAGTCTTGGTGGGACCTCAAACATATGTGTGCACATAATCTAGGATGTCCTTCGTCCTATGAATGGATATCCTGAACTTCACCTTCATCTTCTTACCAAGAATACAATGCTCACAGAACTCAACTTTTCTACTCTTGGCTCCCTTTAATAGCCCCTGCTTGTACAGCGCCTATAGTGACTTCTCTCATGTGTGCCCCAATCTGTAATGCCAAAGTCTGCTAATGTCTGCCTCTAAAATAGCTAAAGTAACATGGTCAATAACGGTTCTCCCCTTCAGATAATACAAGATTTAACTGTGGACTCCCTTCATCACTACCAAAGATCTCTTAGTAACCTTTGCTATAGCATCCTCAAAGGTCACCTTGAATCCCTTCGCCTCAAAAGCTCCAACTGAGATAAGATTCTTCTTTAACTGAGGATCAAATCTTAACTCCTTCAATTCATGGACTACTCCATCATGCATCTGAATCCTCACAGTACCTATCCCATAAATATCACATGATTGATCATTTGCCATGATAACAACACCCTCATCGAGTCTCTCAAATAATGAAAACCAATCCCGCTTAGGAGTCACATGATAAGTAGCGTTAGAATCAAGCATCCAATCTGATGCATCCAAGTAGTTCACCTCTAGAGTAATCAATAGAGAAAAGCTCGAATCATCGGAATCATCGCCTTTCGTAATAACCTCATTGGCCTTCGGGCTCTTCTCCTTGTTATTCTCCTTCTCCTTGATTTTTGGACAATCTCTCTTCCAATATCCATGCTTCTTACAGAATACACATTGGTTCTTTCCTAGCTGGTGATGACCTCTTAACTTTGACCTTCCTTAATTACTACCTTTTGGATAGGGGCTTCTACCTCTCATCGACAAGGCCTCTCCTGAAGTACTAGCGTGAGAAGTTTTTTGTCATTCCTCCTCAAATCATAGTTTGTCAAAGCATTAATAACTTCACTATAGCTGATAGAATACCTTCCATACAACAAAGTGAGCATGAAGGTATCATACTCCTCATCTGGTAAGGAGCCCAATAAAATAATCGTCTTGTACTCATCCGATATCTTCTCATCAACATTCGCCAAGTCTGACAACAACTTAATATAGTTGCTCATATGAGCTGCCAGTGAGGTGCATCGGGACATCTGAAATCTGAACAATCTTCACAGCAAGTACAAACGGTTCTCAACACTTTTTGTAAGGTATTTATTGTTGAGAATTTCCTACATCTTTATTACAGACGTCACCCCAATCATATCATACATTAATTCCTGTTCCAAACATGATCTGATCACTCCACACACTACAAGAAATACGGTATTTAACGACCAAAATTAGTAAAGGGACCAGTTGACCGTCGTTAATTAGCATATAATAACGACGGGTTTTTAAAGCCTTCGTCGAGTGATTACAAATATTATATAATGATGTGATATGGGATAACGGTTTTCAAATCCCTTCATTAATTTAATCCTAATACCGTCGTTATTGGGTCTCCTTAGAAACGAAGGGGTCCATTACCTTCATTAATCATAACTCCTGATCATAATAGGATTAGTAATCAAAATTAATATGAATAACCCGAAACCCAAATCACCCTCTAACCGCACCTATATATATTTGAATAAGCCCTAGATTAATTAAAACTTAACTGTTCATCATCTCTTTTTAATAATTCTCCTTCAACGAAACCCGTCCCTGCCCTAGCCGCCCTCTGCCCTCCAGCAACGTCGTCGCCGTTCGCCCACTGGTCGTTTGCCCCCTGCCAGCGCTTTTGCTCCAGCAACGTCGTCGTCGTTCGTCCCCTGCCAGCGCGTTTCCTCCAGCAACGTCGTCATCGTTCGCCCCCTGCCAACGCGTTTGCTCCAGCAACCTCGTCGTCGTTCGTCCCCAGCAACGTCGTCGTCCGACCAACCTCTTCCCCTCATCGTCGGCGTCGCCCCAACAACGTTGTCGCCC